TGAAGCTTGGTGCTGCTGCAGCCATTTTGTCACAGTGAAAAGCTCAAAAAAAAAAAAACAACAAGAATACTGGAGCAGAAAAAAAATACACATGAATTATGTTGAAGAGCTGAAATAATGACAACAATCATCTACCTCAGAACTTCTTGTACCATGAGAAAACTTACCGTGTTCAAAGCATTGCTTGGTCAATTTACATATTACCTACTTCCTAAAAACTGTCTGCTAGCTAACTATTTCTGGGCACCATCATTATGTAACCATCTTTGGGATACCTGTTGGGGAATTACCACAGGATTTCTTTTTTTTTTTAAAGATTTATTTATTTATGCAAGCACTGGGTACAGTCAGAAGTGCGGGAGGGTTGAGAGAATTCACCAGAGCCAGAGTGAGGAGCAGAACAGGCAGACTGATGACGTACTGCTGAGGAGAGCAGCAGGCACGGCAGGAGAGGTCTGTGCACCATGTGGGACACTTGCCCAGCGGCCGGGGATCAAACCGGCGCTGCAGAGGCTGCGGGCATCTTCGCAGCCCAGCGCTCAACCATTGCACCACCGGGGAGGCCCCTCAGGATTTCTTGATCCAGTCTCTTGAATGTCCCCACTAATGGTGGCTGTTGTCTCTTTTTCCGCTGATGAAAGAAATGGAAACTTTTAACTCAGAAAAGAGAAGATTCAATGGAGGACATGAAAGTTGTATTCCTTAGCTGAAGCTTGCTTTCCTGCGAAGGGCAGGGCAGAGAACTGAGGGTGCTGAACAGGAAACAGATTAGAGCCTACTTGACCCAAGCTTGGGGAGTGAGATTGGCTGATTCTTTCTTAGTTTAGCTAAGCAGGGTTTGAAAGAAGCTGTAGAAGACCACTAATACATGTGGAAGTAGGAGAGTGATTCCAAATACGCGGGGAGCCTGAACACAGGTGCAGTGTGCTGGTGATGAGTTTGGATACTCTTGATGGACCAGTTGGACTGGAGTGGACAATGGAGCTCTTGGCAATTTTTCACTTTATATAGTCACCGGGCTATTCTAGTCACATTTTTCCCCCTTGGTAAAATGAAAGGACCAACTGCAATCAATGGGTCTCAGCCTTTCCTCATAGTGACCTAGAATATTTTCCCAAAGGCTTTGCAACCACAAGTCCTAAAGGAAATACAAGCAAAGTCTGTTGCTGTTTTTTTTTAAACAAAGATTCTAGTATGATAATAATTACTACAGTACAGATATATAGACCTTTAATTTTCAGAGAGGTTTCTTGGCCTGTATCAAGGTAGGTCCCCCCCACCTCCACATTTAATCTCTTAAACAAATTTTTTTTTTTTGAGGGGGAGGTGCAAACTGTTTTGTTTTTTTTTTAAAGATTATTTATTTATACAAGCACTGGGTACAGTCATAAGCACGGGAGGGTGAGAGGATTCACCAGAGCCAGAGCAGGGAACAGAACAGGCAGACTGACGAAATACACTGCTGAGGGGAGCAGCGGGCGGCAGGAGAGGTCTGCGCGCCATCTGGGACCCTCACCGGTGGCCGGGGATCGAACCAGCGCTGCAGAGGCTGCGGGCAGCTTCGCAGCCCAGCGCTCAACTGCTGCACCACCAGGGGAGGCCCAATCTCTTAAAATTTTTTAAACATTTCATTACAAATGATTTCAAACATTCGGAAAAGTACATACAGTGATGTAGTCACTAAGATAAAAGTGATGTTTAATATTTTCTATATTTACTTTTAATCTCTTTCTAAGGAAAAAATGTTAAACCTTACCCCTTACTTCCTTTTCTTCCTTTTCTCAGAGGTAAACCCTTTTCCAAAATTGCTGTGTGTCTTTCCTATTTAAGGTTTTTGTTCTTTTACTACATATGTAAGAGTCTATGTATCTATCGATCTCTCTATGTTTCATATATATGTATATTGTGGGTGTGTTTTACATAAATATCAAATTGAAGGCGGCATCTTTCAATATTCCTTTTTTCCACTCATTATTATACTTTTAAGATTTATCTGTCTTAATGGCATCTAGATCATTTAATTGGATGTGTAGTGCTTCACTGTATGAACAAATCACAATCCATCCATCCATTCCCCTGTAGGACAGTTAGGTTGTTTTGATGTTTTGTTTTGTTTTTTTTGAAGATTTTTATTTTATTTATTTATGCACACAAGAGCTGGGGTGTAGGCCAGAGGTGGGTGTTGGTGGTAGTGGTAAGAGGAGTCACCAGAGACAGAGTGGGGAACACAACAGGCAGACTGACTGAAATACACTGCTGAGGAGAGAAGCAGCCGAGACAGGAGAGGTCTGCTGCACCATATGAGTCAGCTCCCTGGCTGGGGATCTAACTCTTGCTGCAGAGGCTGCCAATAGCTTCATAGTGCTGAGACTTAACCCCTTGCACCACCAGGGAGGCCCCTGTTTCGATGTTTTTGCTGTTATAACAGTGTTGGGAGCAGTAAGTTTGCCCTTATCTCTATGAACATGTGCAGCTTTTCTTCCAAGTTATTAGGCATAGAATTGCTGGGTTGTAAAGTATAAACACCTTCAATTTTAGGCTGAAGATGACCCCTTTTGCCTGGGATTCCAATCAGGAGATGAAAATATCAGTGACACTACCTCTGTAGAAATGGTGATCATTTGGGGCATTGTCTCTTAGAAAAAAAAAATAAGAGCGCTGCATTCATTGCCACAAATCTTATTCAAATAATCTGCTTCTAAATGTCAAATCAAAGAATATTGGAATTGGTCACTTAATTAAATATCTACCCAATATAATTATTGCTTCTAGAGGATGCTGGACATATGATTTTACATTCCATATTTGGATACCACCAAAGACAGAAAGCGCACAATCTCCCCAAGTAGCCCAACTCTACTGGTTAGAAAGTTCTTTTAAATTGATCAGAAAACACTTACGGCTGGGAAGGGTATCTGATTCTGAATTTAACCCTCCTTTGAGTATCGATTACTGTTCCCTTTTACTATGTAAAATGGGAATAATAATAATGCCTTATAATATCGTTGAGGATCAAGTAAGTTAGAATGTATATATATGGGTGTATATGTACACAGATACATGTATATATTTATTTGTAGGCATATACATACACATGGAGATACATGTATGATACTATACACATGTCATATAGGCAATATATTCATATATGTAGAAAAAGCACATGAAAGGGCAATTAATAGTAGCTACTGCTAACATATTTTCTTCTTCCTGACATCTACTCCTTACCAACAAAAGTTCATTCTGACAACAAATATCTACTGAGTGTCAAACATTGTGAGTACTCTGTGCCAGCGACTGTGCTAGTCATAGAAATATCACCATACTTATTTATTGCTATTTTTAAGATCTTCTGTGAAATTGCCAGCATAGATCAATGGTTTAAAATGGAGATTTTGGACTAGACTAGTCCAGTTTTTTACTTCACTACTCTTAGCTATGTGATTGTGAGAAAATTGCTTAATTCACCACTATGCCCTTACCACCCATGCTAAATGTTCAATAATGTTAACTATTATTTAGTTTAATGCCTCAGTGACCCTAATAAGGATTTCAACCTGAACCTGGAGAGCTAGGCATAGATGATCTCAAAGTATACTTTTATAAATGGACCCGCAGTCTACACTTTTATAAGTTCAGGAACAGAAAGGCATTTCACAAAGCTAAATTCACAAAGATATCTTGTAACTCCTCTTCTCTAAATGGGGAGGAATTACCCTTTGGGAGCTCACAGACTAATTCATACTCTTGATGTGAAGCAGGAAATAAAAACACCCCATGGAGTGACAAACATGCGACAAACACTATAAATGCTAAGGAGTACTTTCAGTCCTACATGAGGGTGGGTGCTGCTTGGTTCTCACTGGAGGGAGTATTCAAAAGCGCAGACTCTAGAGTCAGGCAGATCTGGGTTTGAACCCGAACTTGGTTCCTTTTCAGTTATGTGGCCCTGGGCAAGTTGCTTTTAATTTTTTTATACTACAGTTTTCTTTTCTGCAAAACATAAATAGTAATAGTTATCTCAGGAAGTGTACTCACTACAGTGCCAACATACTAAATGCTCAATAAAAGCAAATTATTGTTATTATCTGACAAATGGCAGCCTATGGGTGATGACAAATTTCCAGTCTCAGAAGATGAGGGCAACGTCTTCCTTTGAGGTTCCTCATGGGTGGGGCCTGGTCTCTGCCTTCAGAAGTTAGCCATGGTGTCTCCCCTGTCACCGAGGGAACTTCCTTAGAGCAAAGGGTGTTTCCTCCATCAAACTTGGGGCTCCACAAGGCTAGACCTGCTTCTCTTCCTCAGAGATGGGAACAGCCCTGTCTCTCCCATCAGCCTGGGGGCTGCGTGTGTGAGGCTGGCTCCCCTCTAGGCCACTCGCTCTAGGGCTGATTCCCTTTTATTTTCTTCTCAGGCCCAGGAAACAAGAGTAAGGAATGTGCCTCTTTAGCAGCCCCCTGGAACCAGGAGTAAGATTCTCGGGGACCCGGGAGCCCCAGCCCGTGGGGTCCGGCAATTCAGGGGCTCCGAGAGAAGTCTTGAGAAGGTTCTTCAGAGATTGTCAGGCTCTAGGGGGCAATAGGGGAGTGTGGGGACGTCCGACAAGCTACGTGAGGGAGTATTTTACGCGGACGTGGGGTGCGGGGGTGCGTCCGGGTAACTAATGGCAACTGGGCGGGGTGAGCCCGCCCGGCCGGAGCGCTGCGAGAGAGAAAAACTACTATTCCCAGGATGCCCCAGGGCCTCGCCCTGCTTTCCCGCCCGCCCACTGGCTGCCGGTCGGGCGAGCGGCGAAGCTGATTGGCGGCGGCGTTGCGGGCTCCCCCACTAGCAGGTTAGTAGGCGCCGCCGGCAGCAGACGTTGACCGGGCGCGGGGGGTGGAGGGACCCGACTCGCCATTCTGGAAACCGCGGGGCGCAGTCTTCGCAGCGTAGCCGCCGGCTGCGAGGCGCGGGGCGGGGGCGGAGACTGCGTGGCGCAGGCGCGGTGCTGGGCTTCTCCTGGGTCCCCAGACAGCTGGAGGAGATAAACAGAGGAGGAGGAGGGAGGGGGTGCGTGTGTGAGAGCGCGCGAGGGAGTGTGAGTGTGTGTGAGCGCGGGTGTGAGGCTGTGCGCAGGGGCGGGCGGAGGCGCTGTCCGGCCGCGGTCAGGCGCCGGGCGGGGAGCATGGGAAGGGGCTAGAGCTGCCCGGGCCCCCAGCCCCCTCCCCGGGATCCGCGCCCCCCCTCCCGGGAGAGGGGCCGGGCCCCCTGGACCGACATGGGCTCCTGAAGTTGCGCCGCCGCCGGTCCCGGGAAGAGGCCTGACAGGTACCGTAGCCGCCGCCCCCTGCCCTCCGCGGCGCCCCGGCGGGCACCGGCTCTCACAGCCCGGCACGCCGGCCGCCCGCGCGGAGCCGGCCCCGGCTCTGCCGGCCCGGGGACCTGGACCCGCCCGCCGGGGGCCCCGGCCGTCCCGAGAGGGGGCCAGGCCGCGCCGGGGCGGAGGGCAGGGCGGGCCGGGGCCGCGTGGGGGCGGAGGGCTGGCCGGGACGCGAGGGGAAGGCGCGGGAGTTCAGGGAGGCTCTGCGGAGGGGAAGGTGGCAGGCGTCCCACCGCGGGACTTTTTTGCGGAGTTTTGTTTGACACCTGATCTGGCGCGGGCCTCGGGAAGAAGGGGCAGGTGGAAGTGCCGGGAGGACATGGCTGAGCTGACCTGCTCCGCGCTCCTCAGCCCTCGTGTTCTCTCTCTCTCTCTCTCTCCCCCCCCCCTTCTCCCCCCCCCCCACCGCGTGTGTGAGTGTGAGTGCGTGTGCGCGCGCCCGTGTCCAGGCTTCTGGCTGCCGCAGATGTTTTCAGTGCCCCATCCTGGCATCAAACTGAAATCTGCCAAGGTGTTTCCACAGGCGACTTTAGCGCCCGTACAAAGGGCCTTTACTTGGACACGGGCCATTCAGTACCCACTTCAAAGGGTAAATAGGAAGTGTGGAGTAGCAGAGAGACTGCGAGCCAACAAGGTCCAATTCTTGTTACTGAAAGCTGCAGTGGGACGCCCCCTTGCAGCTAGGTTGAATTTGCTGGGTGCCCTCTGGCTCTCCTCTGCAGATGTACTTCCTACCAGGGTCTCTGGAAACGAGGTGTTGAGAGCTAGGACTGGTGACTAACTGCCTGCTTTGACTATTTCCCCCAGAGTTCTTTTCATCTGTGACTTTCTTTAACTTCCTGAGGTGGTAGTCAAGGAACTTTAGTTTTCCTCTCACGTTTGTGAGTTTAGAAGCCTGTGAGGGTGACTGTAGCTTCCCCATTCTTCCCAGCCATGGGGGTGGATGATCAGGCTTTAGTGGCAGTGAAGTGTTTCCTTTTAACAAAGCCTGAAACAGTTTTGAGAAGAAAACTTTTCTGAGGACACTGTCTGACTCAAAGACAGGTCTGTCCAGTGGTCTGTCTATACTTAGCTTTTCTGTACCTGAGAGTCCCTCTTGAGTGGCCAGTCTCTACATGTTATGGTGAAGGGACTACTTCAGGCTATTTCTGATTTGAGTTCTGACTTATTCTTCCTAGTAATTCACTTATTTTTTAAAGGGTTTGAGCTGAATCTTGGATGTTGAATATATTAACTACATCTTCTATCACAGACCAAGGAGTAACTACTAGGGCTCTTTTGGGCTGAGTCTAAGACTACCGATGGGTTTCTTTACTGTAGGTTGTATTTTATGGGCAGGTGGGAAACAACCTTTTCTGCCGTCGCTTGTGATTATGCTGCTTTAATTCTGGGCTCTGCTGTCCTTCCCTCTTTTGACCTGTTTGGGGCCACTTATGTTCAAGTCACATCTCAATTTGTAGAAGCACTGCTTTGGGTCAACTCTGCAGAGTAATTGAACAATAATTTATACTTCTACCTGGGATTCCTTCCCTTTGGCTCACTCAGGATAAAAAAAAAATGTGTGCAATGATTATGGGGATAGTATTAACACTGATGATTTGCCAGTTTTGAGTTTCAGAGTTGTCACGTTGCAATTTTTCTAGCTGAAAAGAACTCGGTGTTGACTCATGGGACAGTCTGTGTAGGGTATTTTCACACCCCTGGATTTCAGATATGGTTGATGTGGAAGGATGCAACCAAAGATCTTATAACTGTCTGCCAAACATCTGTCGATCTTGAGGGGCCAACAGCTGGGAAGACCCAGAACTATGACTTGTTCTTTAATTATTGTTATTTTTCTTCTCTTTTTAAATTAGGGCTTGTGGCCAATATGTGCAGTCCTGGGTCTGAAAGAGGGAGTGGTAGACATATATTCTGATGCTATTTCCTTTTCTTTGTGGTCACTGTCCTGTTTCTTTTTTCATCCTTACCATTTCAAATTCTCCACTGTTTCTTTGGACTGCCATTGCGGATGGACCCACATAGCTCCTAGACTGTGCTTTCTTCTTAGCTATCTAAGGTAAAAGCTCTTCAAAATCCCAAGCCCTGGCAGTTGTCATCAGAAACCAGTCCCTTGGTATTACATTTAATTCTGGCTAGTTTACTTTGAGAGATACTGACTAATTGGAATACATCCTAAAAAGTGACTGACATTTATTGAAGACCTGGTATATGTTGGGTTTCAGTACTACATGGTGTTCTTCTTAATTGAACTCTCATGACTGTCCTGTGAGGTGAAAATAATTTCTCCTATTATACAGATGAAGAAATAAGTTCAGAGAAGTTATATAACTTGCTTACGGTCACACAGCTAATAAGGGAAAGGATTAGAATTCAGACCCATCTGTTTGTCCTATATTGAACTGCCTTTAGGGCCGTGGCATGTGAGGAAGAGCTGAAAGGATCAAAGCCGAGAGCCTGAGGAAACATAATACCTACCTTCAAATACTTGAAGGACTGTCATGTGGAAAGAGAACTGACTTTGTCTGTATGATTCTAGAAGACAGCATTAGGATCAAAGGACAGAAACTCCAAGAGGGTAGACTTTGGCTTCATAGGAGAGAATTTGATTTTCTGAAAACGAAACTGTTTTTGTTGTAAGGGAGTGAGTTACCCATCATTGGAGGTATTCAATGAGTTTCTGCGCAGACACTTTGCCATTTCTTATCAAGAATATGGTAGAAAAATTTAGTGGACTCAGTGATCTTTTAGTATTTTAAGGTCTTATTCTGTGAAAATAAATTTAAATTCCTTACCTTGATCTGTAAAAATCTAGTAGGTATTAAATACTTTTTGTACCAGGTACTTGCTACATACTTTTCCAGTGATATATCATCTCAGAAATCCCTCGTGAAGTAGACATTATTATTCCACTTTATAAATGGGGAAACTGAGACTCCAGAGAGTTCAAAAATATGCTGGTGGTTTCACAGCTAGAATAGTTTGGCTGAAATTTGAACAATTCGCCTCCTCCTTCTTGGCTGTGTGGCCTATGTAAAGCGTGTGTCCTCTCTCAGCTATAGTTTCTTTTTTTATTTTTTAAAGATTTATTTATGCATACAAGAGCTGTGGTGTAGGCCAGAGGTACGGGAGGTGAGAGGATTCACCAGAGACAGAGTGGGGAGCAGAACAGGTGGATCTACTGAAATACACTGCTGAGGGGAGCAGCGGGGAGACAGGAGAGGTCTGCAGTGCCATGTGGGTCAGCTCCCTGGCCAGGGATCAAACTCCTGCTGCAGTGGCTACTGACAGCTTCGTAGTGCTGAGACTTAACCCCTTGTGCCACCAGGGAGACCCTTAAGCTATAGTTTCTTCGCCTGCAAAAGGGATTTATGATATCACCTACCTTATAGTGGGTTTATGAGGACTAAATAATGTAATACAAGCTTTTCTCTAGACCTCACTGATTGCCCTTGAGAGCCCAGAGTAGGGGTGAGAGGTACCATTTGGCTTCTTCAGGGTGAATTCAGGTACGGTTGAAACCCTGAGACTTCTGGGGTTCATTCTTTGTATCATTAGTAATAGCTGCTGACTCCTTAAAGGGCTTTGTGGCATTAGTGACTAAGACCTTAAGAGGAGGATTCAGCCAACAGGTTGGAGTATCGGAAGCAGTGTCAGAGGCCTGTGAAAAGAAAATTCTCACCCTACTGAAGAGTCAGTATAAAGGTCACTGTTTGCATTTTTATATTTAATGTCTTATTTTAGGATGAACAAGGTCACAACTGTTAAAACTATGAGAGCTAGATGCAGAGAATAATATCCTTAATCCTCCCCATAGCCATCTGGGGAGGAATTAACCCCAGTTGGGGAGTGGGGACAGAACAGGATCAGGCCTTATCCAGGTAGCTATCCAGGGGCTCTCCAGAGAGAGGGTTAGGATCAGGACTTGGTAAAATTTTGTCATGCCCCCCTTGCCCCCCCCCCATCTATTTTCAGAGAACATAAAACTACTTACCCCTGAATCTTTTAGTGAGCCTTTTTCAGAAAGGGAGTCAGGTATTTCTGGTCAGGGAGCTTCCTCAGTTAACACCTAAATGTTTGGGTGCCCATGGCTTACCTTGTTCCCTTGAGTCAGACATCTGGGTGTAGTAGTATAGCTGCAATTGAATTATAAGGCTGTGATTCCAAATTGATTGGCTTAGTTTCATTTGCTCTCTCTGCCCGTGTAAAGTTAGAGGATGAAACTTCAAAGACTGGCCTTTGAATCATGACAGGATTTGGAAAGATGCAAGTTAAAGACAAAATCCGAGGCTACAGATTCTTTTACATGTAGTGGGAGAGGACAGTGTTATCAAAATATGCTCCCCTCTTTTTATTTCCGTTCTCTTCTACTACCTTAAGGTAATTGCAGGCCTAGGAAAAAGCATATGAACTAGCCATAATCACTGAAAATAACAGGAACATTTTTTTTTCCACAAAACTCAAATGGCAATATAAAACCTTTTTAGATAGAGATAATCAAGGTGAGTTTCCACCTATAACCGTCAAAAAGTGAAGCATTGCTGTTATAGGGCAGCCCGATATTGAACGGGTTCCTGGCTGTGGGTCCTCACCCACGCGCTTAAAAGGGACTTATGAATACTCCACTACAGGCACACACAAAAGGTTCATAAAAGGTTTATTTACAAGGGAAAAGGAAATAAGGAAAATGTACAACTCGGGGAGAAAATAGGGAAATAAAGTCCTTAATGCGTCCTACCCGATCCGCCGACCTGGAAACCCAAAGTCACTCTCAGAGCTGGCCAGACAGCTGCTAGCTGGCGGAGAGCCAAAATGGGGGAACCCCTCCAAAGCCCACGTGTCTGGCTTTATACCAACCTGACTGCTGAACCCCACCCTCAGGTCCCAGCCACCTTCCCTTGGGTGGTGATGGGATTTGGAGTTCCCAGTGTCTTTGGCTTTGGCCTGG